TTCACCTCAGTCTGGCACCAAAACTTCGCTTGAGCTACATAATAACATTTTAAACACTGTGGTCTCGGCAATGCCCCTTGGAACATCTTGATTGCCAGTTTACTGTTTTTAGATAACTCCAATTGGTCTATTCCTTTGATTACTCTTCCTAACAAAATGGAAATATTGCCTACAGCAAGATGATACCAAAAAGCAGGGCCGTCTTGAGCCGGCTTGTGCCCAGTGGTTATTGACAAAACAAGACCCCGTTCAGAAAATTGCTGCGGCCATGCCCTTCGTCTTCGGTTTCATTGAACGTCCTTTTTGGTTACAATAATTAAAAAGATTTTTAAGGATTTTTGCAAGAGTGTGCAGGAACACTTAGAGTGAATCTGAGGCACGTGGACATTTATCTGCACTTTGCTTTTTAATCCGTATGCTTTCCGTATGCTGAAATATAGTAGCTTTTGTTGCATTTTGAAGATATCTTATTACATTATTATAAGTGCCACTAGTCACCATGGCAACAAACTTCCAACTAACTACACGCTATATTTTCAACAAACAACAAAAAAAAAACAAAAACAAAAAAACAAAACTTATTGTAATACAGGTATTTTGATGTAATTTGTATAACAGCAGAGCTAAACAATTTAGAAAAAATGGGCTGGCAAATTTGCTCTCTGTTTTCATCAATCATGGTCGGCAAATGCATCAAATGTTTGTTGTTATTGCCAATTTATGAATGCATTGTGTGCCCCCTTTTGTTCTGGTGCAAATTGATTGGTTCGAGCAATCTGTATTTTGCTACTTTAGGCAAGCCTTTTTGTTGAGAGCGAACTTCTTGGTTCAATGTAAAACGTGCTATATTGTTAATACTTAACTTGCCCAATATATATATATATATATATATATATATATAGAATTGGTTTGCTGTAATTATGCAAATCTCTTTTACATTTTACAATGAATTTACTAACATTAGGCACACTCTGCTTGGTAAATGTAGAATAGTTTACTGTGGCTTTGCAACAAATCTGCAGAATCTAAAACATATAAGCTGAATCTGCAGAACCAATGTTTGCAATATAAATCGGTAAATACCTAGATAGCATACTGTGGTGATGTTTCTAGCTAAATGCAAACATGTCAAATGTTCTGTCATGCAAACTGCAATGGTAAATATAGTGGCAGTTTGCTGTGTTTATGCAAACTCAAATGGCAAATGCAAAATCTTCCTTGCCATGGTTTACAAATTCACATGAAATATGGAGATAGTGTGCTGCGTTTATGGAAATTCACATAGTATATACAAATTGTTTTCTTGCTATGGTTTATATATTCAAATAAAATATGGAGATAGTTTCCCAGGGCTATACATACGCATACATACATAAAAAAGTGGCTGCTGTTGTCGCCATAACACATCTAGTTATGCCTTTACTCTTGGTGGCAAACATGCAAGGTGAACAAAAAACAAACAAACCAAATGTTTACTGTTGTTGGCAAGCATGCAAAACAAAACATAAAGTTTGCTGTTGTTTGGCAAA